CTGCCGCCGCTGCTGTTTGCCCTTCCTTTGCTGGCTCCTTTCCTCTCCACTGGATTATGCAGAATCAGAGAAACAGTGACTTATTGAGATTTTTCTGCCCTGTCCCACCTTTCTCCTCCCTTGGCTCTTTCTTTTCTCATCTCTTTCCTTCCCACCCCTCTTTTCTGTTTTTCTTTGGTTCATCTTTTCTCTTTCCTTTTCCTTTCGTCAGTCCCACATCTGCTTCCCTCTCCTCTTCCCAGTTGACCCAAAGAGCTAGCTTCCTTCTGCGCCAACGGCATCCCTCAAGATAGTGATACCCTCCCAGATGCTGTCGTGGTAAGGATTATAAAGTGGAATTTGGTTTGTGTGACCAAATCCATATTCTAGAGCAGGAAGTCTTAACCTTTTCTATGTCGTGGATCCACTTGATAGTCTGGTGAAGCCTCTGGATCCCTCCTCAGAACAATGTTTTTAAATGCACAAAATAAAACACATAGGAGAACAAAGGAAACCAATTCTATTGAAATGCAGTTACCAAAATATTTTTTAAAAACCAAATTTATGGACCCTGGGTTAAGAAACCCTGTCTAAAGGGAAGGAAGTTGCTGTGTATCAGGTGTGGGTGACAGGCCTTTGGAATCAATGAATTCCCTTAAGATTAAATTTACACAGATCCTCACCCAAAGTGTATTCCAAGCTATAATGAGTTTGCACAGATCCAGTTGTATGGTTCCAGGACTGGAAGTAGGCCAGTTCTCAAACTCTTAAATTCCTGCACCAGTCTGGGCTTGTCCCATATTCCAGCCCTGCCTTGTTCAACAACCCTCTGGAGAGCAGAAATGGGGATTGTCAGGTACAGAGGCCTCATATGGTCTTTAGAAGAGCAGGGGGCTATTTTTGAGCCTGATGAGGTTCTGAGAATGGAAAGTCATCCTGTCTCCATGAAAATTTTACGTGGGAAAAAGGGGGTGCCATAGGCCCATCCACAGAGCTCCTCTTTTCTGCCATTATTATCATCATCAATTCACTCTTCACCTTCTCTCTTCCCCTATAAAGTTCTCTTTTTTCCTGCTTTAAAAGAGAAGAAGAAAAAAAACTGTCATCTTTCCCATATGAAGAACAACCTCCTAGCTCTTCATGAGTAAAGTATATGCATGGATTTTCTTTTCCAGGGAGTAGTGAGAGGTTTGCACTGATCTAACACTTAGCTAGGTTAGAGTGTAAGTCTGCGGCTGGGAAATAAGATGAAGCTAACTCGCCCACATGGGATTCGACTAATGACTACCTGAGAGGTGGAGTCTAGGCTCTGTGTCTAGTCCTTCCTCCTTCAGGAGATGGAAGGTGCTGTGTCACTTTGTAGGTCATGGGCCTTGGGAATTAGTGAACTCAGTAGCACCATGATGTAACTGAGCTATGTACATTCTGGGGCAGAGAAACTAAAGGCTCTTTTTTTTTTTTTATTATTTAGGGGATGTCCTTAAATGCTAGATTGAGAACAGGGTGGACCTGGAGTTAGGTTTGGTTGGGATTTCCCCAGACTATCACTAGGACAGACATGAACAGATAGTGTCATCTACTAACTTTTTTTCCCTTTACAGTAGCAAATCACTCTTCTTTAGAATAGACTTTCAGCTCACCCTCATCTGTATTTACTCCCCTGTGAAAGGATAACTCCCCTTGGCCTTTGGGATCATGAGTATCCTAGACACATTGCTTGGGTCCTGGGGCCTCCTGGTTATTCCACCAGCAAGATGCTATCTCTTGGCTCGAGGCTTTTTCTTTGGCTGTACTCCATGCCTGGAATGCTCTCCCTCCTCCCCTCTGACTACTGACCTCCTTGGCTTCCTTTAAATCCCAAGTAAAATCCCACCTATACCCCTACTCAACTGCAGAGAGCACAACCATGATGGGCAGCCACATTATTCGAATGCCAAACGCACACTTGCCTAAAAGACTATTTTATGGATAACTCACATAGGGGCAAGCCCTCACATGGTGGGTAGAAGAAGCTATACAAGGATATTCTCAAGCTCTCTGTGAAGAACTCTGGAATTGATTTCATGACTTGGGAGACATTGGCACAGGACCATCCAGCATAGTGTGCTCTTATCAGAGAAGGTGCTGTCAGTGCTCTATGAGCAAAGCAGAATTGAAGTAGCTCAAAAGAAACACAAGGTGTGCAAATTTAGAGAATCCACCCCAAATGTTCACATGGACTATTTGTGTCCAACTTGTGGTAGAGCATTCTGAGCTCATATTGATCTGATCAGCCACAGTCCAACTCATTGTAACTTGACTCTAACATAGTGATGTCATTTTCATCCTCTTTGAGAATCAAGGACAACCAATCAAAATCCCACCTTCTACTGGAAGCCTTCTCCAACCCCTTTTAATTTCAGTGTTTTCTCTCTTTTAATCACTTCCTATTTATATTGTACATGGCTTGCTTTGCATATATTTGATGGCATTTTGTTTCTTCCATTAGACTCTAAGCTCACTGAAGGCAGGGAATGTCTTTTGCCTCTTTTTATGTCTGCATTGCTTAGTATAGTGCCAAACACATAGCAGGCACTTAACAAATGTTTATTGAATGAATGAATATGAAACTTTGTGAGTTTCATGGGGAGCTTCCATGCCCCGGGAAGGAATAGAGGTTTCCCTTTCTGGTAGGAATGTGCCTTGGCCTGTTTCCTGTTCAATGGACCATGTTCATAAACTAGTTGGGGTAAACGGGGAGATGAAAATTTGGGTAGGACCCCAAGGCAAGAATGGAAAAGAAATTATGTTTCTAAGAATTGCTCCTTTGCAAGGCAAAACTTAATCCTGTAGCTCAGGTTTTAATGGGACTTCAATCTTCCCACTACCTTTGCAAGATTCATGGGATCATTAAAACGTACTAGAAAGACAATGAATGTCTTTGGTAGAAAGACTATCATATTCCCAGGCACAGAAAGCTAATTATTAACTCCACCTCATTGTGTATGTGTTAGGTGGGCATGGGGTGTGATGATAATGGTGAGGGTGGTACCAGAGAGAAACTGGAGGGCTCATACTTATCTTACCCTTTTGCTTCATCTTCACCCCACTAGCCCTCCCCACTACTCCACTACCTACCCTCTCTCTACCTTCTGTCTCTCTTATAATGAAGAGGCCAGACTTGAAGTCTGAAGGCCTGGGTTTGAATCATGCCTCAGACACTTCATAGATATGTGATCCTTCACAAGTCACTCAACATCTTTGAGACTCAGTTTCCTCATTTTTAAAATGGGGATAATAATTGTACCTAACCCACAAGGCTGTTGTGAGGATCACATGTAAAGAATGCATGCAAAGTGCTTTGTAAACTTGCAAATACTATGTAAATGTCAATATTTTATTATTACTATTTTTCATTTTTATGGTAGATGAAAATACATGTTCGTATATGGGACAAGGAAAGTCTTCTCTCCTGCCTTAGACCTTGAAATGAGCCTGAGGAGATCAGAGATGAATTTATGAATTTATTTAGGGCAATTTCTGGTCTGAGAAGCAAGAATGGCATCAGAAGTGGGGTGATTTGTTCTTGCAGGTGCTTGGTTTGGTAGTTGAGACTGGATGGATGGGGGGCTCAATGACCTGTATGTACAATCACCTGTATCACTATAAGGGCATAGTAGACATCTGTCCCCACGCCACTGGTTTGCTGACTAACCCAGGCTAGCTTTCAGAGGAGTTCTAGCCTGAAAAAAGGTGGATAGCTTAGCTAAAAAAGTATGTTCTTTTTTTTTTTTTAATTTTTAGGCAATTGGGGTTAAGTGATTTGCCCAGGATCACACAGCTAGTAAGTGTCAAGTGTTTGGTCTGAGGCCGAATTTGAACTCAGGTCCTCCTGACTTCAGGGCCAGTACTCTATCCACTGCGCCACCTAGGTGCCCCTAAAAAAATATGTTCTTAACCTAGACAATGTGAACTTTAAAAAAATTTTTTAGTAACTATATTTCAGTATAGTTGGCTTTCCTTTGTAAGCCTATGTATTATTTTTTTTCTGCTTTTTTTTTTTTTTGGTGAGGCAATTGGGGTTAAGTGACTTGACCAGGGTCACACAGCTAGTTAAGTGTCAAGTGTCTGAGGCCAGATTTGAACTCAGGTTCTCCTGACTCCAAGGCTGGAGCTCTATGCACTGTGCCACCTAGCTGCCCTGAGCCTATGTATTTTATTTATGCATTCAAAGACATTATTCTGAGAAAGGGTCCATATATTTTGCCAGAGTTCCAAAAGGGGTCAGATTAAAAAAAAAAAGTTAAGAATCCCTGTTCTAGAGTTTAGAAAATCACACACACACACACACACACACACACATCCTAAAGTCTACTGCCTGATTTTCATGGTCCTCTTTAATTGACCTCATTTCCCATTTTTTCCCCCAACCTACACCCTCCATTATGGTCAAGCTATTCTCATTCATTCATGCATGAACTAATACTGAGTGCCTTCCCATTCAAAGCATGTGCTACATGCTCAAGAGACTGAAAGCAATGGAAGACACAGTCTTCTACCCTCAAGGGATTTACAATCTAGAAGGGGAGATGAGATCATATTTACAAATAATTATAACACCAAGTGGGTAAGTGCATGGAGGAGGTGGTATTTGAACTTGGCCTAGGCAGGATTGCAACAGATAGAGGGGATTGACATTCGAGGCCTAGGGAATTGAATGAGCAAGGGTGCAGAGGCAGACAACCTCAGGGAACCTGTTTGAGGAGCACTAAGTGTTCTGTTTTGATTGGAGCAAAGGGTATAGGAAGGGGAGTAGTGTGAGATAAAGGTGGAAAGATGGGTTGGAGTACGATAGTAGATAGCTTTGAAAGCATGGTGTGACATAGAAAAGAACTGGAGTGGAGCCCTGGGTCTGGTCCTTACTAGTTGTGGGACTTTGGACAAGACATTCATGTTTTTGAACCTCAGTTTCTCTATCTGTAAAGTGGAGAAAATACCTACATGAACTTTCTTATGGGTTAGCTTCAAGTGAAGTACTTTGTGAACTGTGAAGTACTATTTAAACCTAAGCTATTAATACTATGTGACCGTGGTCAAGTCTTGAAACCTCAGTTTCCTCATCCGAAAAATGAAGGTCTTAGACTAGGTCAGCAGTTCTCAGAGCGTGGTTTGAAGACTCCTGGGGGTCCTGGAGACCCTTTCCAGGGGTCTGTGAGGTCAAAACAATTTTTGTAATAATACTAAGACCTTATTTGCCTCTTAAGCTATTCCTGTCTTTTCCAACTACCTATCTGTATAAGGCCAGATTTTTTTTCATGTACTTCAACCAAAACATATTACGATAGATTGAGTATACAAAC